AATAAATTTTAATCTGGGGAGTTATAATAGATTTGCTCTTTGCTTTAAAGGGAGTGCTTTAATACTGCAATTAAATAAAAAAAAGAGATTTGAAATGCTGATGAAAATACTTGAATAGGCAAGAACATGGCATTTAAAAAAATTTATCAAAATTAGAATATTTAAAAATTCTAAAACCTTCCAAATTACTAGTCATTTTATATAATCTTCATTTTATAATTTTAATTTCTAGCACAGGATTTGCCTGTGTAAAATAAATATAGCAGACTAACACCATTCATTAATATAATTACTTTTCTCATTACAAGTGACCTCAGGGGTCCTCACCATAACTATAGAACAGAATAACTGTGGCTGTCAGCATTGAGGGGCAGAACTAACTCATAAACTGACTTTCCAATGTCTGTTTCTCAGGCCCACTTTTCTTATTCTATACTCTTTGAAAACAGATACTTGATTTAAAAAGAAGGAGGGCAGGGAGGGAGGAGTGAATGAGGCCATTATGTATTTTGTATTCCAAGGATAAAGTAATATGGATCCAGGGACCAAAAGTGATATACTCCCAGCTTCATGATATAGACCATGATCTTGGGATAAGAAATTATAAAGCCACGTGTCTGTTGCTGCTTCTCAAACACATCCAGAAAGTAATTACTTAGTGGCTAAAAAGCTATGCCAAATTCTCAGTGACACTTTCCTAATTATTAGTAAGGTGATCTAGCTTGTTAAGTTTATAGATTTTTTTGCCCCTCTATGGTACTAATAAAGTATTTTCATTTTGAAATTTTTAAACGGGGGCCTATCAACATTTTCATTTTTCCTGAAATGGCTTTGTACAAAAAAGTTGTTGATCACCATCTACATAGAAATTTTAAAAAAGTAATTCACACAGTTAACTTATGGTGTGAAAAAAAATGCACCGGAAATGCCAGAGAAAATTCAGTTTTGTAAAACTATGAGTCTATTAAAAATGCTTCTGATATTTGCCAATATGCTTTGCAAAAATATTCAAGGTTTACAATATTTTACTGACTCTTATGTATGGATGTTAGAAGGTTGCTACAATGGAAATCCATTTTATTTTGGTCAATATATTTAATTCCATTTTTAGAGCATTTAATTCAATTTTAGAAGATTCCTGAATTTGCTTTTGTTGGCTACTTTTAATATGCACCTATTAGTCAAACTAACTTTAGTAAAAGCAATTCTGTTAAGACTTTGGAACTGAAAACCATTCTGGGGGGGCAAGAAAGTAGTATTTAACAGTCACTTTTCTAAGCTTTCACTGCTTCCCATTTTATATGCAAAACTGAAGATTTAGCTTTTGGTTTTAAATTCACAGCTTCCAAAACCTAGCAGGCAATTTTATGTTAGAATCCTAATTTAAGAAGATGGAAAAAAAAAATCTGTGAGAGTTAAATTAAGATTGGTTCTGCCATATGATGCTCAAAATAAACTCTACGTTTTTATATACAAAGTAAATTGTCATTTCTACAAAACGTAATTTGTCAGTTAAATGACAATGTTTAAAAAAAACCAAAAAATTTAAACTTTCCTTTTACAATGCAGGCAGACAAAACAGAACAAACATGACATCAATGATATACTAGTAAAATACACTAAGTCCAATAAAAGATGAAGAAACTACAAGGAGAAACTAGAATGGAAAAGAGGCTACAGGAACTATATGGGTTCATTAACACAAATAATTTTTGAGTCTGGCCTAAATAATTAATTGCCTTTGACATCATTTTGCTTTCCCCTTTGTTAAAGTACATTTTTCTCAAAGTCAGCAATACCTTGTCTACCTGTCCTGTCTGGGAGATTGAAAGATAAAGGTCTGTAAGAGAGAAGAATGGAAAGAGCTAGAAAGATCAGGATGTTCGGAAAAAAGAAGACTGACTTTAAAAAAGTAGTGACTAAATTCAGACCCATTTATTCATCTTAAAAATAACATGAAATACATAAAAACTAACAAGTCTCCCCAACCCCACCCCTCTACCTCCACCCCCCAGGGAGTCCTTTCATTCCTAGGCAGACCCCTGGGTGCCTCTTACACTTCTCCCAAACTCCACCCACCTCCCAGCTTAAACCCTCCTTTTCCAAGATCCCAATATTACAGTAAACCATTTCTCTATCAAAGCAGGATGGACGTTAATACATTCAGAGCATACCTTTGCTTCTTCCCTCTTTAAAGATCTGGGTGATCTTTGCTTCTACCTGTCTAGGTATTGGGAATTAAACTGGTATTGGTTCACTTTTATACTACCTTTAAGCCAAAATTATAGTATCTTCTATTTCTGACAAAGTAAAGGCACCTAGATAGATCCATGTTATATTTTAAAAGCTGTATCTTAATTATACCCAAGCTGATTTTTAAAAGATAAATGCTATTCTAAATATTACTAAAATAAATTTTTAAATATGATAACCAGGTTTTGTCATCAATCATGATACTCTGAGTTTTAACTAAGTCTTTCTTGATAAGTTTTTGTTTACATAATAAATTTTAACTAAAATTTAATAAGAGTCAGATTAATAAAAGCTTAAAGATTGCTCTCAAGTAATCTTGGATTATTCTGCAGTCATGTTTGGTAGATAGAACCAATTTAAGTAACATGGAAATTGAACCCATATGAAATCTTTTGACATTTCAGTGTGTCTGGAATAAAGCCGGTGGCCTTCCAAACATACTTAAAATATATGAAAATTACTGAAAATTTACCCAAAGTCAACATTATTTTTCAACATAACTTCTTAAATATGATCAGGACTAAATCGCCTCACTTTGACCCCAAATCCTATTTTATAACTAAAATATGAGCAGACATCACATATAGAGAAACACTTGCTAAACAGATAACGTGTGGTTTATCCCTAATCAGATTTAAAACATACTTTCTTGTAAAAGAGAAAAAGGAAAACTAATCTGGTAGCAGGTAACAACTGACTATATGTTAAAAGATGGTCAGTGGATCAAAAACAGAAGTATTCATTAATATTCAAAACCATTTTAAATAGCATTGTTTCTATAAATGGATTTCTAAGTTATAGTATTCTTATAACTATTTCCGTCAAAAATGTAAATTCTGTATTTAAACTGCTCTTGATAAAAAATGCTCATTAACAAAGTTTTATTGGACAATCAAAAAGCAAATATCCATTATCCAATTATTATAGGTCCTTCATGAGTTTTTTCAATATCATATATAGCAAACTAAAAAGAAAAAGTTAAAAAAGGTCACCACCAGTAGAAAGGAGTTAAATACCTGGAAATGTGAAAATCCCAGACAAGAAATCAATATATTTTTACAGATGATTACAAAGAATTTACAGACTACCACGTATTCATTCATTTTAGACTGATTATTAATGGATTATGTCACTATCTCTTGGCATTTAAAATCTATATCCATATCGTTTTGTAATGCAAAGTTTAACAGATCATGTAATTTTCAAATTATAATTTTAAGTCTTTAAAAACTATAGCTTAGAGTTCACAGTAAATCTTCTACTATATAAGATTGCAAACCAACCACACTAAATAATATTCTGAGTTCTTTTTCTTGTCCTAAAACAAAATTTTCTGTATTAATCTAGTTTATTTTTTTCCCTTTTCAAAAGCCTATATTTTAAAAACTGGCTATAGCACACAAAATATATACAATTACTTTAAAAAGTCATAATTTTAAGCTCTTCACTATTACAAGTAGAGACTTGTAATCACTATTACAAGTAGAGACTTGTAATAGTCTCTTTGGGAAACCAACAGAGATGGGTAAGTTCAGATAAGGAGAAATGCAAGACTATTCTACTTTTAAGTAAAACATTGGAAAATGTTTTTATACATAGCTTCAACTGTTTCTAACCCTCAGATTTCAGATTTATTCATCATCCTGTGTGTTTTATTCAATTCCAGTGAGCACAGCATTGTGTTAAACGGATCTTTGACGGTGCCAACAAGACAATAATTCTTCAGAACTCACCTGTTGTAAATTTCAGCTAGCATATTTTAATACCTTGTTGCTTTTATAGTAATATTTATATCAACCAAACACATGAACTTGTACTAATAATTATAAATAAAATATATTTTCCCAATCTGAATTACAACTATAATACCAAAGGTAAGCGTATCCTCAAACAAGTACAGTGTTGAATGAGATATCGAGACTATTCATCTTTCATAACTTCTGCTATAGTTATAATAAACAACCAAAATAATGTGAACTAGAGTGGGTCAGCTACAGCACCTGTTACTGATATTCAGCCTAGTACACGAGAGAAAAGAGTCACTAAAATTCTAAAGTAGGGTTTTATACAATGCTAAAAGTGCTAATTGGTCCTCATTCATCCAATCTAACAGCACAAAGTTATCCATGTATATATAACTAACCAAATCTTTCTCTTACAGAATGCAATAAAAGCCATGAATACATGGAGCACTGAATGAAAATGTGATTTAACAAAGTTGTCTGTGACCTTTGGGAAGGATCCAGAATTAAAAGATTAAGTCACTGATTTTCTTTTTTCAGTATGTACTCAGGCTTGTTAAGCATCTTTTATTACTTCCTCACAAAAATTCCATTGTCTTTCCTTTCCTTTTCCAGAAATAGTTTTGTAAATTTACATATCTTTAAAATATCAGTTTTAAGATTTCCTTGATAATTACTAATATTTTACAAAGCAAATATTGATTCCATTTTTCAAATAAATAATTTCTTTTTTAAGCAATAAGAATTTTAAATTGTGTTGATTACCCAAGGCAGTCATGACTGTGGCTAAAAGAAGAATGCGCAAAACTACCTGGTGGATAGTAGTCACAGAACGTTTAGCGTACTAAAATTTGTATATTCTATTTTTAAAAACTGAATAACCATACCTGCAGTACCTAAACGGTGATACTGAAGGACAAACAGAGAAAACTACAAATCATGCATAATTTATGATCATGCTTACTACCCTCACTAACTAGAGCACTTTCCATTCTTACCTCAGATTTCTCCAGTTTATTTTGTGCATCAATTTGTGTAACAATCTCATTCATGTTGGTCTCCAATACCATTCCCCCCATCACCATTTCTGCAAGAATATTGTGAACCTAAAGGAAAAAATAATACACAATCATAAAGAAAACTCAGTACAGAACCATTTCATAATTTCACTAGTTTCTGTTTCAAATACTATTGTGTCTATTTTATATGTATGAACTGTAAAATAAAATAATTTAGAGTGAAGGCTCATAATTCACTTTTGTCACTACTGTGAAGCCTTAGGCAGTTATATAACCTCTTTAAGTCTTAGTTTAATAGGCTGTAAAACAAGAGATAATAATAGTCCCTTCTTCATAGATTGCTGAAAGGATTAAATGAGGTCATTCATGGATGTGCCCAAAACAAAGTAAACAATCAATAAACATTAGCTACCATTATTATCAAGTTTAATGTTACAAAAAAATGATCTATAAGGACCTTTTATACCAGATTCTTAGCTAATAATTATTAAGTTGTTTTGAGCTCAAGGTACTTAATGAAACTATAGATATAAGCTTTAGATTGAAAAAAAGTAAACTTTTCTTTTTTATTGTAAGTACTTTAATAATGCTATTACCCCAAAGCCTCTCTGTATGAAATACTGATATTTTTTATCATCAAATATATCTTATGACTAAAAGTAGTGTCTTCCATTGGGGAGAAAAAAATATAACCCAAGTGTTTTTTCATAAGGTATTTATTGGGTCAAACGTCACCAATTCAAATCTGAATTGTTTCACAGAATAGTATACTCTGCTATAATTTTTT